TGCATTTCCAACTGCGACGCTGAGTTTGCAGGCGCGCAGGCCTGATTTGTTTGTGCTGCAGTGGCAGACGGCCCTACAAAGCTTTATTATAGAGTCCTAGAAAAGCCGGATGCTGCAGCCTCCACAGGAAAAGTTTCTTTGAAGATATTTGGTGATCCATCAGCTTGCCATTTTTTCGCGGTTGCTTTGTTGCTCTACACCGCTGCCTTTTGAGCTTTCCATTGAAGCCTCGTCTAAAGCTAGCACGCAGTGCACGAGCTTTTGTCCAATATGACGCAGCGTTCAAGGCAGATCTGAAGGATAGCACCGACCGCGGCGGTGAACAAGGAGAGCCAAAACAAAATGCAGCAATTCAAGCAGGCAATCGTGCCAGCGGCTTCTCTGCGAATGATCTCGTTGGCCCAGTACCAACTCTTCAGGCGACAGTTGGAGACGCTGCAACACCTGCTGCGTCAGATGAAGTAACTGCAGGAACCAGCGGAGGCACCAAGAATGAAGCACCGCAAGAGGCAGGCTCTCCCAAAGGAGCGCCTCAATCCTTGCATAAAGGCGACTTTGATCTCGCAATACAGGGAAACCGTAATTTAGCCAGATAAGCACCAGTTGAAGCATCTGCAAAGCTAGCATAGGCAGCGAAAGCAAACAGATCGCCTTGGAGATTCGTTCTGCAGCAGTTCCATTGGTACCAGTTACAGAAGTTGCAAACCTCATTTGATTTTCGATTATTTAGCTGAGCATGCAGCAATTTAGGGCTGATATTTTTGTGTTGCAGTGCCGAAGCGCCAAGCAGACGCCCTTTTTGCAGTGCTAGAAGAGCAGGTTGGTGGAGCCAGCATGGGCAAAGCTTCTCTGAAGGCATTTGTTGGGCTTTAAGTTAGTCCTTTTTGCTCGCTTGTACACTCAAATGAAGAAAGTGCAGAGCTGGCACTTCCTTCATTTGAGCGTACAAGCGAAGGTGGCAAAGGCAGTGGGAGAGGCCACTTCCAAATGTGATGGCTTCAACCACACGCGATTACATGCGTTGCACAGAAAGGTTTGGCTAATGCGTCCAGTGGAAGCGGCGTTGCGCTGAAGGCACTTAGGCTGCGCATTTGCTGTAATTCCAGTGTAACTTTATCAATCGTAGAAATGAGGTTTGGGCTTGCTGTATATAATGTAGAGCTCATCGCTGAAGGCACCGACCTCTATATATATTGTATGCGCAGGAGTTGACATGTGCAAATCGTAGGTAGGATCAGGTCTACTGGACCACTGTTTTAACAATTACATATGACTAGCAAAGAAAGTTCGAGAACATTTCTGCTGAGAAGCCTAAGAGAATTTCCTGACTCTCCGTAGCTCAAAACCCTCAAACACTGCGATATACGCCAGTGCATTTTAGAGGATTTGAGCTCATAAATCAGTGAAGCATGGCATGAGCCACAGGCCCTTCGTGTTTACTTGTCCGTGCAGCAATAGTTACACAGCAGCGAACTTCATTGTGGGTGCGGGACTGCTTGTGCATTGCAGACGTCCTTATTGTAGAGGCGTATAACTCAAGGCGCTTTTGCCTCTGCAGTGCACTCACAGAGCAACACGCTGAAGCGCTGTTTTCTCTCCAGCAATTCTTGCAATTTGCTGCAGGCCCCTCCAGGTCAGCACTCCTCATGAAGTCGCTCAGGGCTTCTTTCTGGATATTACATTCCTGCATCTGTTTCTCTCTCACAGCCTGCTGCAGAGCTCGCCGTAGCGTGCGCGTTCTCTTTCCAAGATGGTTCGGTTTCTGGCGACGCATGCTGTGCACATACTCAGTCTACGCCCCGCATCGTAAACTATAGGTTCGGGCCTCGGCAAGTACCTAAAGCTGTCCCTTTTGAGACCGGGTGCATATTGGACGTGATGGCCTCGCAGGCTAGCGGGAGGGCAAGCTGTGATGGCTGTGGACGCCTGTCTCCTAGCACTGCACCGTTCGCAAAACATTGCTCCGCCGCTGTTTGAGGGCGCATAAGGGACTCGAGACGTCGACAAAAGTTTGCAAAAGTCAAATTTACGGATAGGTGAAGCGATTTCGCAGAAAGTTTGACTCGGCCGGTTCTCTGGGGAGTTGCCGAGACAGGACAGTGGCTACGTGGCTGCGTGCTTGGTTATCGCGTCCAGCGCAGGTTCTTGCTTCCGTACCTGCTCCGTTTGCCTTCTACTCTCATCCACTCAGCTTACCGTCAACCAAAACGCTTGATAATACTGATTATATCAAATAAGGTAGTTGGGATCGCTCGGATATGTAGAACTGGTTGTTTCGATTGTGCTGAGTATGCCCACCATGGGCGCAGTAGCTGGAAACCGAAAATGCGGGTTTTGTCGAAGTGGGTTGTAACTTCAGTTTTGCCGGAGCCCTGTCCTCCCAGAATATGAGCTTAGAGCAGATACTATATTCTTTTGAGCACTTGAACTTTTGAAAGCCGGTGCTGCCCCACTATTACTGTGCTCATCTCTCGTGGTGCCCCGCTCGGCTATGTCAGCAAGGGAGTACAACGAAGGTTTTGGGGCTACTGGGCTACCCCGAGCATCAGCGTCAGCAGAACCCACACAGGGAAGCGCTATGGAAAGGCTTTTACCCCGTTTTGGGGCGATTTGCGCGCGCAGACGGCAATGCGACGATCTTCAGTAAGTGAGCGCCTTCGCTCACGAGGGGACACTGCACGCCTCATGATTCACGTTATGCCGACGCCCCACGCACCCTTTTCTCATTAATATTTCGTTTCAGACGCACTTTAATTAGGCAGACCCTTTTGTGCCCTCTACTAAAGCACTTATACGCTGCAAATGCTGGTGTTCGCCTCCCTGACCGTTGGCCCCCACCATTTTCTGGCCTTCCATATTGCTCACAAAGTGCTAGAACCACTGGTTTCCAGCCATTTTCTCTTCGAATAGGCCGCCGTATATGAATATAGGTGTTGCGCGTCACCTCAGATAGTCTTGAGGAACGCTGCAGAGGCCTTGAGAGAAACCGCTCGCAAGTTTGCGAGCCCACGACTCCAGCGATGTGTCGTTCTACGTTACTCCAGGGCGCTACTATTGAACATTAAAGCGTTTATAATACTACAGAACAAACTTGAAAGCTCGCTGAGTAACTTACGGCAACGAACCTCGCAATTTTCCAGAAAAGCAGCAGCCATAGAACGCCACTGGGGACTACCCAAGCAGGAGCCCACATGTGCATTCACGACTCCCGTGGCGTCGTTCATCGATC